CGCCCTCCCCACATTTTACAGCTGAGGAACTGAGACCCAGAGAGAGAAGAGAAGAAATTATTTGTTCAAGGTCACATAGGTAGCTTATAAGGGTCAGAGCTGGGATTTGAATCCATCTACGATACCAGAGAGGGAAAACTATTTGCAATGGTTTTACTATCAAGTGTCAAAAGTAGGATTGGAACCCAAGTTGCATCTCCTGGATACTGCCGGTATCCACTCCACTCCAATGTCCCTTTAACAGAGTGCAGGGATGTTGCTAAGGAGGCTACAGTCATCACCTCCTCTGGATTGTGAGGAAGAGATGTCATTTGCTAAAGGGAATCGCGTAAACTTAGCATGGGCTTTTGTGACTGGCCAGAAACTGGTATGCTAATGAGAAATGACTCTGATTGCATCCAGGTAAAAATAACTAGTGTAGAGAGTCACAGGATGTTTATATGTGGCCTGTACCTAATGCTGTTTTGTTTTCACACCTGCTTCTTTGTTCAGTTCTGACCACATCCTAAAATAAAACATTGCATGTTAATAGCTCAGAACTCAAAAATAGGATTGGAATGATAACAATAATGACAATAAAAAGTTAACACTGACTGGGTCTGCTTTTACCTCGTTTAAAGACTACTAGTTGCTCCTTACAATGTGACTAGGAAGTAGTCATAGACCTAAGCCACAGGTTAATGAACCATGCAATAGAAAGCAAGTTGGGGTCCTGGAAATCCTTTTTCAACAGCCTCCATACCCTATCCCCCACCCTCCAGTGCTACTCTGGTGTCAAACACAAATAGAAATAAGGCATTAAACCATACTTAAGGATCTCTACAGCCACATATTGACTTAGGAAAAAAAACCACATATTAACATTTTGTTAAGTTATTTCAGTCATGTCCAGCTCTGCACGACCCCATTAGGAGTTTTCTCAGCAAAGATACTGGAGTGGTTTGTAATTTTCTTCCCCAGTGCATTTTACAGATGAGGAAACTGAGGCAACCAGGGTTAAGTGACTTGCCCAGAGTACCACAGCTAAAGAGTATCTGACCCTTGCTAGCTGTTGTTTATCCTTCGTTCCCAAAGAGGACCGATGACATTGGGAAGGTGATGTCTTGACTTGCAAGTGAATTGGATTTAAGTGAGGCAGAGCCGTGCAAAGTCATCAGCCTTACTTTCTCCTCCAGGGTCATCAGAATCTAGTGGCAAGACATAGGTCGGTACACCTGGCAATGGCCCTGCATTCAGTGGGAGACCCTGGCCTTTTTAAGCTGAGGTCTTTCCCAGGTCTCAGTTTGTCTGAGGCAACACCCGTTCGGTGATTAAAGGCTAGGTAAGAATTGAGGCAAAAGATGGCCTACTTTGCCTTTGCAGAAGAATCAATCCACATGGCTGTGAATAATTTCTTTAAGTTCCTCCTCTGTCAAATGAGGGGTTGGATAAGATGACCTGCAAGGTCCCTTTTAAATCTATGACTCTGCCTCACGGGTCATTGAGAGAAAAGTGCTCTGTAAACCTTAAAACACCAAGGAATATGAGTTATTAATATTACATCAAGTATTGAAATAGTTAAGCAGGAGTAGTCAGTACTAGTGGTGCAGCTAGGTGGCGCCATAGTTTACAGAGCACTGGGTCTGGAGTCAGAAGACTCATCTTCCTGAGTTCAAATCTGGCCTCAGACACTTGGTAGCTGTGTGACCCTGGGCAAATCACTTAACCCTGTTTGCCTCAGTTCCTTCACCTATAAAATGCGCTGGAGAAGGAAATGGCAAACCGCTCCAGTATCTTTGCCAAGAAAACCACAAATAGGGTCACAGAGAGTCAGACACAACTGAACACAACTGAACAACAGGAGTCATTACTGTTGTACAGAACCCAAACCAATTATTTGGATAATTTAGGCACCATAAATAACTTATCTAGTTAATTTGTTCCAAAGTGGATCTCATGAACCAGCATGGTGGAGCACTAGATTCTCAGTCACAGGAAATTGTCAGCCCTGCTACTTGCTACTGGTGTGATAATGGGCAAGCCCCCTAACATCTTTGGGGTTCAGTTTCCTTGTATGTAAATGATCTTTAACGTTCCTTCCTACTCTAAATCTAATGCCTGCATAGGTAGGAATATTGTATGGGTTCAGTACTCTTCCCTCAATGTTCCACTGCCTCTCAAGCCACTGAGTAATTGCTTTATAATCTAATTGGCTTTATCTAAGAAGAGTTAGCTTAATGGGGGAGGGGCAGGGAATGTCCAAATAACTTAACAATTAGAAGATAGAGTTCAGTTAGAGCCAACTAAACTGCACTGAGGATCAGGTTGGAAACTACCAAATGAGTGTGCTGTCAGCCCCCATTCTCTAGATGGGAGGTTGGGTGGTTATCTGTCAAGGAAAGAAAAGTCTATTACTTAGAGAGCCTGTGACTGCCTGGATAGGTCTGGCTAGGCCTAGGCACAAATGTGAAGTCAAAGTATCTTTTCAGAACCCTTCCTTTTTGTCACTAATATCTATCAATCTGTCACTAGTACTTTCTTCCCTAGGGCCCAAGGATCTCACTCAGGCTTGTTTTCTCTAAGCAAGACCTTTCCTATATGTCTCTCCCTTTTTCTGCTTACTAGAAAAATGGGATGGATAGTTTACATCTTTGTCTGCATATACCTGCTGTCAGTTTAAGGTTATATGAGAAAGGATCTAATAAATTTTCAGGCTAAGTAAGGCCTGACTGATAAGACTTAATAGATCTTACTGAAAAACCAGTCTGGGTCCAATAAATGTACCCAAGCAGGTTTAGAGCTATGTTATGGAACTTCAGAAAAGGCTCGCAGAATTCCTGTAACACCAAATTAATGTGAATATCTTATGGTAACGAGAAAAAAAAAGACTTATGGCACTTGCAAAAGACCAAGGAGACTGCAATTAGTTAGATCCCAAATAGTATGAATAATGAATTCTCCTAAAGTAGATGTATTGTATCCAAATTCACATGATTTAATGTGATTACATAGATATGGTGATAGGTTCTATTCCAATAGGAATATGTAGTGTGAATTCAAATAATGTGACCACTTCATGGGATTCATTATTTGTATTAAGTGGTATCCATCTGTATCAACACCCACTCTAACTATGGGTTTTAGAAGGTTAGATGTGTACTTTTCATAGCGGCAAGACTTCTTAGAAATTCTTAACTTTGCTGGAGACTGGGGATAATGAGAGACTTTATACGTAGCTAAGTCCTTTACTTAACCATGGCCTCCTGAGAGCAACACCCAGGATTAAGATATAGGGTCAGCATCCATTCATAACCCCCATCCAATGTATCTTTTCTTAAAATTAGACCAAATCAGAGTACACATTAACTCAAAACAAAGGCATTTAATTAAACAGAATAGCAAGGGTAGATCACAAGGATACTCCCCTCCCCGCCATAGTCATCATACACACAAGACCACATTCTTCTGAAGATTCCCATTGAGAAAATGCATAAGAACCAGACAACTCAGGCTCCTAAAACTGCATCCCGAAGCTGGACCACCCTTCTACTTCTGCGGTTGCTGTTTGTTGCTTTCCCATAGAATTGTGGGTGTTATCTGCTGGTTTGTTTTCTCTACCCCTCTGCCTTCTGTTAGATTGTCTACCAATTTATTGTTGCCACCTGCTGGATCTCTGCTGAACTGTACATGTTGTTTGTATGTGGCTTCTTTCGAGTAGTGGCATGGTCATTGCTTTTTTTTTTTTTTCAGAGACAGATCATATAGAGTCTCAAGCCTCTTCTGTGTTCCAGACCTACAGATGCTATTGTTGTTGTTTATTCCTTGTTTTCAAAGAGGATCAATGACATCATGGGTGATAAATTGTGCATAAATTGGATTTAAGTGAGGCAGAGCTGTGCAGGTACCAGCCTCACTCTTTCCTCCAGAGTCATTGAAGTTCAGTGGCAAGACAAAAGTCAAGATGATTGGTGATGGCCTGGGATGAAGTGAGTGACTTTGGCCTTTCTAAATTAAGGACTTTCCCAGGTCTCAGTTTGTCTGCGGCAATAGCCATTCAATGATTAAAGGCTAGGTAAGAATAGAGACAAAATATGCTACCCTTGAGAGTAAATAGTTAAAAGGCAATACTATTCAGAGAAGCCCTAAAACATAGACATGGGTCCATAGTTGTCCATGCCTGCCCAGATTTAGAGTTACCCCAATTTTTTCTCAAAGGAAATGTGTGTGTGTGTGTGTGTGTGTGTGTGTGTGTGTGTGAGAGAGAGAGAGAGAGAGAGAGAGAGAGAGAGAGAGAGAGAGAGAGAGAGATTTGGACCCTGAAATTTCATTGGTATAGGAACTTCCTGATGAAGAACTTCTACCAATGTAAATCCATAATATTTAGTCTTTGAGAGCTGCCTAGAGATGTTGAGAGGTTAATTAACTTGCCCAGGAAACACAGCCAATATGTTTCAGAGGTGGGACTTGCACCTAGGCGTTCCTGATTCCATGGACAGCTCAATGCCTCTCAAGAAAATAAGACTTGAAATGTATACTTATCTGTAAATACTCGGACGGCCAAAACAAAACAAAACAAAAATAAATCTATAGATGTACCTTCCAGCAAAGCAAGAACCCTCAAATCTGTGTCTTTAAATGTTTCAATTACCCCTTCAGTGTCAATTCCCTTAAACTGGATTGATATTTGGATTGGGATGAGTAAGTGCTGTTCAACTCCCTCTTGCCTCTGGCAGATAAATTTAGGTTACACAGGTTACCCTGGAGCTTCACACACCAGGACAAGAAGAGAGAGAGAGATACTTAGCAAACTCTCTTGCCTGAAGCTGCATCCAAATTGCTGCTCTTTCTACATATACTTGGTTAGAGTTGTGGGGAAGAGGTGGGGGCAAGTTGGAAACAATCTTTAATTTTTCCATAAGAAAATTGAAAAGTTTGAGTATCTGATGTAAAGGTTAAACTCCTTCCCTCCCTCCCTCCCTCCCTCCAACATAAACACAAATCAACAGATTATCAGCACTTACCCTGTGGCTGTTTTTTCATTTGATCTGGCCTTTCTTTGCTTTTGTTTCTCTTCTTTTTTATCTTCATGCATTCTTCTGAGTTTTCAGTGGTTATATTCTATAAAACAAGAAAAGAACTTTACAAAAAAAATCTTGTGCCAACCAAATCATGGTTCTTTACTTTTTAACTTGTCTATTTCCATCTGTATAATTATGTTTTCTCTCTGATTTCTGTAGAATCTTTTGGTCTTTAACTCAACAAGAATATGAATCATCAATATAGTTTCATGAGCTGTGGTAGTGTTACACTGTAATTAATTTTTGAAAGATTTTACATATTTTTAAAAGCCTATTAGGAAACAAAGGATTTTTTTTCCTCTTTACTTTCATAAAATTATTTACTTATATTAACTTTGGTCTGACTGCACAATTAAGTCGTTGTACCATAGAGAAAAAGAATAAATCAGGTTTGTTGCTGTGAAATGAACAGGCTTTAATTCCACAAAGTATTTTTCAAGGGTATCAGTTCCCTCTGAGATTTCACTTACGATTTTTTTCCCCACATGATCAGAGGCCATTCCAATAATCTGCAAGCAACTCTTCACAACAAAGTCTCAGCATATCAGTGAAGACATAAGGAAACAAGAATCTCACTCTATAAGAAAAGATTCTGAGAAAAATGTTCCAGGATGGTGAGTGTTGTTTAGTGGATAGAGTGCTGGACTTGGCATCAGGAAGATTTAGATTCAAATCCCGTTTCTAATAGATTCCTGCTATATGAGCACAGGCAACTCATTCAATCTCTCCCTGTCTTTGTCTGTCTATCTCATTTCAACACAAAATAGTTACCTTATGCCCTCTGCCTGTAAGGCAAATGCTGCTAGTGTGTTATGCTGCCAGGGAGAGCCCAGGAAGAATAGCACAGGGAAGGAGTCATAAGAAGATAGGATATTGGCTTGCTGAAAAACAGAGAAGGGAGATTTTCTTCACCATCTTATGTGGTGCTTACAACATTCCATTAGTTAAGAAAGGAAAGGAAAAAGCAGCACAAGAAGAGATAATGATATAATATTCATGAGATGGTCTCATTTTGGGGAAAGAAGGTTGTGGGGAATCAAATAAAGGTCTTGGTGTCACCCTACCACTATTTGGTGAAAGAAGCTTCAAAAAACCAGGAGGTTAGTGCACTGATATACTTTTTTTCCCTTTAAGTTCTGAACACTTTCTAACCTCATCAGAAACAAGGATAACGTACAGTCATACCCTGGCTCTGAAAGATTTTAAGATTCCCAGCTTAAACTCTGAGCACAGGGATCTTTAGAGATTTTTTTTTTTATGGGAAATGGATTCCAAGGTCACAGTTACTCCAAAATAATGTGAACTCATAGGTGTGAATAGATGAATAAAGCCAAATTCTATTTTGTCTTCATGAATATCAAAGTGAGCATGGAGCTACATCTGTAAGACTCACATCAGAATAGAGATGACAGTTAAGATTACAGAGCCAAATATGAAGCTAAGAGTAATTGACTAACTAGGTTAAAAATTTAAAAAATTCTACCTGAAGTCAGGAGCAATCCCATCCTGCTGGCATAATTATAATATAAAATTGAGTTTTAACTATACTAACGTCATAAAGATTTAGGAAACTAGAGAAGATGGAAGGGATGGATGAAAACGGGAATGCTATGAATGGTTTTGAGAATATCTTGCCATCTCTATATTTTTGTGTTCCATCTACACCATTCTTAGAATCTACTGTTTTATAAAAAAATTTCCACCAAATGTTCCAAGCTGTTGAGTATCATGTTTATTCTTTTGTATTCTTTAAGTGCTGTTGTGTCCATTTTTTTTTTGTTTTGGCAGTCGGGGTTAAGTGACTTGCCCAGGGTCACACAGCTAGTAAGTGTGTTGTGTCCATTTTTAAAGACACCAGATCTCTATTTATATCTCTTCCTTTTTATCACCATTCTGAAGGTTCTTAATGCTGGTCCATTATTTTTTCTTGGTGTCTAGTTGTTATCAAGGTATTATTCTTTCCTTGTGAAGATTTTGCCTTTATTGGTTATTCATTGGGTTATTATTATTATTTTGCTTATTCATTTCTTCAGTATTAACTATACTTTGTGAGGTTTTCACCCTAAGGATTTCCTTTCTTTGCCATTTTTTGGGGGGTTTATTGTTCTTTTTTAAAAATTTTTAATTTTTAGGCAATTTGGGTTAAGTGACTTGCCCAGGGTCACACAGCTAGTAAATGTCAAGTGTTTGGTCTGAGGCCGGATTTGAACGTGGGTTGTTCTTTTTAAGAGGCAGCATGGCATAGTGGATAGAAGCTAGGCTTGAGCCAGAAAGATCTTGGTTCAAGTCCCATCTCATACACATTCTAGGTGTGTAACCTTGGGCAAATCACAACCTTTCAGTTCTCTGGGAGGATCTCTAAGGCAAAAAGTAGCAGAGAATATGTTGGCTCGTCCTTGATAGAGGAAGTTCCTCAGTGGTGACTCCCTATGTTAATGAAATCACAGGTCCCCTTCCTATCCCTATTTTCCTTTTTCTTTATTTGGCAATGTGTGACTACTTTAGAGAGATGAAGGGGAGGTGGGCTTAATTATGATCATCTCCTCAATTCTCTTCACATCTTATCCACTCATCCACTCTGGACATTTTGGCATCTGTTCTGTCTGCTGATTCCTCCTCCACTCCTCTTTTACCTTCTTCTCGTTTATAAACCTTGAGACTAGGTCTCTAGGGACCATGACTTTCTTCCTCAGGAGTTAATGCATTTAGTTTTAGAACTCTGCCCTGGGATTGAATGGTCTTGTTTGGTCAATGAAGGAATTTAAACTTGCCTAATCCACTCAATCTTGTTGTTCAGTTGTTTTTTCAGTTGTGTCCAACTCTCTGTGACCCCATTTGGGGTTTTCTTGGCAAAGCTACTGGAGTGGTTTTGCCATTTCTTCTCCAGCTCATTTTACAGAGGAGGAAAGTGAGGCAAACAGGGTTAAATGACTTGCCCAAGATCACACAGGTAGTAAGTGTCTGAGGCCAGATTTGAACTCAGAAAGATGAGTCTTCCTGACTCCAGGCCTAGCACTCTATCCACTATGCCACCTAGATGCCCCACTGTATCTAGCTAGCCCCAGCCTATGTTTCATATCACATCTACCTTGGACATCTTGCTATCTGCCCTGTTGCCACACATGTAACCTATGATCCACCTCCATTTACATTTTTGGCTTTGAGTACAGTAAAAAAAATCAATTCTACTATTGCTTTTAAGAAAGGATGTGGCAATTCCCTGTGATTCCAATATTCATCCCTGTTGAGTCCTGGGACCAAAACTTCCTTTCCTGGCTACCATTTTGTTTTGTGATGTCTTCACCCACTAGAATATAAGTTTCTTGAGGGCAAAAATTGTTTCTCTCTTTCTGATGTATCACCAGTTATTAGGAGAGTGTTTGGAACATAGTAGGCCTTTGATAATTGAATGCCTAAAGTTAAAATTGACAATTTTAATTCACTTATTTTGCTGGAACTTGAGCATAGACCTCCTTAGGGAAGGTATTCCTGGGATTGCTCATCTGTAAAATGGAAAGTTTAGATCAAGGTAAGTCATTAGGAAGATTCTAGAGGAGAATACTTCAAAAGATCTATCATTTTATTGGTGTTCATTCCACTGATGCAGATTGCAACCCTTCTCTATCTTGGTAGTTGGTCTTCATAAATTATGGCAAAGAAACCTAGAAACATTGCTTAGTGTCCAACTCTTTGGTATTTAGCTTTTCTAAGTATAGCTAAGGTGTTCCTTGGATGACAGACATTTCTAGGTCACCGTGGTAGAATGTCAGAGTTTGTTTTCTGTTGTTTTTTGGAAACTTTAGCTCATCTTCACACCACATCTTAGTACTAGAGTAAGACTTTGGTGGAGGAGGTGATAATTCCTTTTGGGTTACTATTTCTGTCAGAGGTAAATGGCCAGAGCTTTTCAGTGGCCATTCCAATGGCCAATTCAAAGGAACTGGAAACTAGGCCTTAGAAAACAGTTGGATTTTCTGCCCTTCCACAGACTTTTTGAAGAAGTCTAATATTTTGTGGGTATTAAAAATATTTTCTAATGCCTCAGTAAAAAAGATCAGAGACAGCAAGCATTTATTACTATGTGCTAGGCATTGTACTAATCACTAAGGTACAAAGATTAGCAGAAAGCAAGACAATCCCTGTCCTCAAGGAGCTTACATTCTAACAGATGAAGACAATGGTAAAAGAGAGCTGAAAAATGGTGGAGGAGGAAAGTACCTGGTAGAGGCAAGGTGGAGAAGTCATCTGAGTACTCTTGGGCTAGGCCTGTTTTGAAGTGACCAGGGCTGATATGAATGCTTTCTCAAATGGAGGAGCTAAGTCTTGAGAAATTGGATATAGAATGGCAAAGACTAGGGGAAAGTACTTTATGGGATGAAGAAGGAAAGATTGGTATGTTATTTTCAGAAAGTAGCGTTTATGGAAGCTAATTTGTCTTCAAAAATCATCAGTATAATTTTATTTCCATATTAAATTTATCTTGTTTTCAGTTTCTAGATTATAGGGAGGGAAAATATATATGTATCACAATTTCTTTAATGAAATGAAAAATTATTTACTTGTGATCACTGTGTAACAATATTTAATGGAATTTGTTTTGTTATCCTGTGTTAGTACATGGGGGACCCATTGGACACCTTGTGTTTTGCAACTCCCTGAGACATTGGGGGACAAAATTATTGTCTTTAAGTATCTGTAGTGTTATCATGAGGAAGAGGTATTAGACTTCTGTTTGTTTCCAGAGAGAACTAGAGGGGTCAATCAACAAGTCAACAAGCATTTACTAAATAAAGCACCCACTATGCTCCAAGCGCTGAGCTTGGTATGGGGGATACAAAGGAAAAATTTAACAGTTCTTTTCTTCAGGGAGAATACATCCTACTGAGTGAAAAAAAAGATGTATACATATAAATACATATCCACAATTTATACAAAATAAATAAAACTAAGACATAAAGTTAAACTTCATTTTAAAAGAAAGAATAAAAAATAATTGGAGGGATATCCATTGCTCATGGTTGGGGCATTCCAATGTAATAA